AACCCAGGACTTTCTGTCCCCTCAGCTGCACCAACAACCCCCTTCTAACATCTACGACACCTACGACATTTTCAAAACACCTGCATGCTGTTTTTACAAGCCTGGTGGGCAATAATCAATGAAGCTATGCTGATCCATACAATCCCTCATGTAAATGTTTAAAACAATCACCAATTAAAGATTTATTAGTCTTAGATCATGTTTATTTCTTCATATATTAGGTTAATGTATTTATTTATTTTAGAATTTTTAGGTAACTGCATTAATGTTAACAAATTTATTGTGTCACCAGTTCTTTGCTAGTTATGTATTTATCGTGCAATGACAGACTCAGTGTTCTCATATGAGTTGGATGTGGTGAGTCAGTGAGCTAAGACTGCAGCTGAATACACAGATTTACAGGGCCAATAGCAACATGTCAGAGAAATAGACAGACTTGTTTAGGAGGAAGGAGAGAGGGACTGTAGGCTGTGGGTTCACACAATTGAGTGAGTAGAGCAGGTGTGTGTGTGTGTGTGTGTGTGTGTGTGTGTGTGTGTGTGTGTGTGTGTGTGTGTGTGTGTGTGGTGTGGGGAGGGGGACTCTGACATACAAAACAAGACCATAGAGCAGGAGTACCAACACACACACTTAAGGGACACTTCAAAACAGAGGACACAGCAAGTCTACGTCAATGATCTGGTGTCTGATGATACGGTATTCAAACACATAAACTGTGAAAGTCTGTGAAATCTTTATTTTCTTTACAAACCTCTGTTAATGCTGAATCCAGCTGAATGGGCTTCTGCATGATTAATTCTGCTCGTATTTCATGAATTCAATCATCTGTTAAAAATATGAAAAATTAACAGGACCAAAAAAACAACAACTTTGAGATAAGGATATGTAATATTAAGAGAAAACTCTATTTTGAAAAAAAGAGTACAATTTCATACCTAGATTGTGATTCAATAATGGATGTTAACTGACTAAATTGGTATCATGAAAGTCTGACTCTGAATCATCATGTTCTCACCAATACTAAGGTTAACAATTATTCTAATTTCTAAATTAATGTTATTGGACTCATTGTGAAAGATTCATCCAAGCATGCATTTCATTTTTCACCTTGTAATTTTTCATCAAAATCTCATAACTCAATCTTTTGAAACAACAGACTGCCCAATCAACAGCAAGTTAGATAAATATTATCAAAGTTTGTTTGTGAATGACATCATTAGCAACATATGTAAATGGTAAATATAGTCATTTATACAAAATATTATTTATAATTTCAACAAGAGGAAGGAAGATCTGCATCGAGGTGAAATCTTGTGTCCTCGTGATTCTCAGACAGACTGGGCTTGTCTAAGAGAGATGATTTTTCATGCCTGTCAAAAGCAGAGTAGTAGAATTACACAAGTTACAGTGACAGGTGCTTGTGAGGCTGAAATATTCATGAGACTTTCAAACAACATACTTATGTGTTAATGTTGCCTCAAGTACCTGGATCCGTTTCTTCTCCCACCATCTGTCAATCTTTGTCTCTGTCCTCCTAGTTCGGAAGAAACATTTTTGGGCTGTAGGAGACAATCTTACAGCTTCCTTTATTTCCCCAAAAAGCAGCAGGTGCAGCCCACACTTCCCAAATTGGTTGTGTGTCTGTCTGTCTTTCTTTGTGTCTCCGCAATCAGGGGTTTTGCGTGTCAGGAGACTTCTAAGGATACATTTTTTCCAGACCGTGTGGAAGCCACAGGAAGTCTTCTCACACGCGACCATTCTTTTGCCAGAAATTTACAGTCGGGCAGGTTTGTTCCGCAGAGGCCCTGGGCCCCCTCTTCACTTCCTGAGGAGCCCCAAAGGGAGGCCAAGATCAGGGCCAGCACCCCAGGGACTCGTATATTGCCAAAGGAGATTCTTCCAGCAAAGATCTACAAGGCAGTAATCGCTAATCACAGGCCTGTACCTTCCTCGATCAAAGGACGTGGCTGTAAAGACATGATTCCTGCGATCAGCAGCTGCTGGTGTCCAGCTAAACTCTGTTGCTATAAAGATCACATCTCTTAAAGGGACAGTTCACCCAAAAATGAAATCTTGTGTCATTCCAAACCTGTATGACTTTCTTTCTTTTGTGGAGTACAAAATATATTTTGAAGAATATTTTAACTGTTACATACAATACTATGCAACAAGCTTTTGTACCTTTTTTTCTGAGAGTGCATGGGTCACTTAAACATTTTGAAGCTGCTGACATTTGCAAAGGATTTTATTTGTCTAATGAAGTCATACCATACAAATTGTTGCAAAGTTTAGAAATAAACAAAAAAAAGTCTCATAAAATTCCTACAAGTCCAAAAGAGTTGTCATCATTTTTATTGTATTATTATTGACTGAGCCACCTGTGAATCTGGGTTTTCAAAAGCATCAGTCATCGTTGTTGTAAAGTCTGAGAGGCCTTTTGCTATGGATATTAGGCCAAGGTCGTTACTAGGAAGTAATCCGAGGTGCCCATCCTCTGATCTCCTCTAGACAACAGCTGAGAACAGAAATGACTGTGAGAGCAGTTTTCATGTCAGATAATTCAGTGGTTCCACTATATTTCCTCTACATCAGTCTGACTGTGAGCCTCAATTCATCTATATATAGCTGTGTAATAAAACTGAGCGGCTGTATTCATTCTTTTCCTTCACTCCAGCCTGCAGAGGAGAACAACACTGGCCAGTTCTCATGACACATGACCCCCAACATGTCCTGCCATTATGGATGAGCTTCAGAAAATGTCCTACAATTCTCATGCACATAAAAAAATGTGTTTATAAAAATGCTGTGAATAGCATATCTAAAAATACACAAAGCACATTGTTTGCAGTAATTATTACAATTGAATGATTAAGATTTTAATATTCACAGCCGATCTGGACACAATACAGGAGTAAACTCTTTATGAATTTGGCTGTCAGTCCACCCGAGAGACTCAATCTCAATGCTGTGGTTAAGAGCACAGAGCACAACCAAGTCCAATGGTCACCAGACCAGCACACGCCTGTGGTCATCCTATTTTCTGTACTAATCTATTTTTACCATTACACCATTTTTTTTTAACAAAGCAAATGCATTTATAAAATAGAACAAAATAAAACCTTTTAGCAGTTTTTTCCCCATAATATAATCACAGAAATGATTTAGCATTTCAGGTTGGCCTACTAATAGCATTGGACAAAATCTCATACTCTACTCAAAGCCTTCCCAAACTGAACAGGAGTTGATGAAAAGTTAAATAACTAATAAAAAAAAGTAAAATTACTATACATAATCTTAAAATAGCAGTAATTAATAATAATGGTAAAACACTTACTAAAAAGGACTAAATATTTTATTTGATTGACTACGTCATACTAACCAATAACAGAGCAAATGTGTAAGTAAATTTTATTTATAGAGCACATTTAAATTCAGCTTACACTGACCAAAGTGATGTACAAAACAATCATAAAATACAGTAAAGTATAAAATAAAATACAAATGTGTTGTTAAATTAATTAAATATCTATTTATAATCTCTTAAAGTTACTTAAAGTTAATATTTTAGATCAGACTGGAGGGTTTCACTGACAAAAAAGTTTGGGAATCCCTGCTTTAATCAATCAGTGTTGTAATGCTGTCATCTAGTGGTCAGACTAAGAATTGACAGATGAAGAGAGACCCGTTTAGTCATCGTGACTTGAAAGCAAACAATTATGATGATCAAAAGGAATAAAAATATGTCAGGTAACAGTTGTAACAAAGCTTTGATTCATAAGAATGAAAAACCTTTATAGATACAACCAGAGAAGAGGAACTGACACGAAATGATTAAGAAACTTGTGTGAATATTTCCTTAACCAGGAGCATCAAAGTGCCTTTTCCAAAAATGTGTATTCTTTATGGATTGATATTGTATTCTTAGAGGATTTTGGTTTTATAATATTTATAAGCCTCCTACTCCCTACTTTTTCATTGCATGTTTTTTTTTATATTTATTTTATTTCATTTTAACTTATCTTATTTTATTTAATCTTATCTTAAATGTATTATGTGGTATTGTGTTGTATAGTGCAGTGGTTCCCAACCCTGGTCCTGGAGGCACCCCAACGCTGCACGTTTTGCATGTCTCCTTAATCAAACACACCTGATTCAGGTCATCAGCTCGTTAGTAGAGACTCCAAGACCTGAAACTGGTGTCAGAGAAAGGAGACATGCAAAATGTGCAGTGTTGGGGTGCCTCCAGGACCAGTTGGGAACCACTGGTATAGTGTGTGATATGAAAATATAGTGTAATCTCATTCTTGATATGTAAATGTGTTGTTGTTCCAAGCATTTTAATTTAAAAAAAAAACGAGCCATTAAATCAGTCAAGAAACAACATTCTACATTCACTAGAATGATTCATTCAAAATACACTGATTCAATTTACTGATTCAAAACGGTCAACGGTTGGCTAGTTTTTCTTCGCTTGGATTATTTTCGTTGGTGCCGCTAAAATGGGCAAAGTACCGGCGATATTGTGTCTAAAATGTAAGTTGCTTAACATTAACGTATTGTTTGTTGAAGATGTTGTGTAAAATCAATATCGCAATGTAATACTAACACGGCTGTGATTACCTCAGCACTCTTGCTAGTGTAGCATTGATGTAAAGATACAGGTAATATTGCTGTACATACACGGCGTAACGTTAATGCATATTGAGTATAACTGGATATTCTTACTTTGTACATAGCATGACCTGATTTTATTCCGTTGTAGTTGTTTTTGTTTTTGAAAAATCGGGGTATTTCTCTCTTTTTTATCTAACATGTGAAGATATCTTAAGTAAAATATGAGATCGTTTACAAAAAATGTCATACTTCTCACCTAGTGTCTGATGTCTGAATCCTTGTTCTGCAATTTCTGATTTTATTTCTAAGCTGGCTAAAAAAGTCTTCCCAGAAATGATCAGTCATTTGTCTAAATACTGGCCTGACAACATAACCGTTGATAACATAACAAATTGATCTCTGCAGTACACTGGACATTTGGCATAATGAGGAATGAGATCTGTCTACAGTAGGTGAGATTTTCTTTTCTTTTTTTCTTTTTTGGAGCTCAGCTCACTCTGTCTCTCACCATGGATCATTAATGGAAAAGAAAATGAACATTTGGATCTCTAAATGCTGTGAACTGATTCTTCTGACAGGAGCAGAAGGGACGTTTGGACCTACTGCCAGCAGGCTGTAACAGACAGATGGGTTTTCACACAAACAACAGAAAACATCAAGAGCAGTCAGGCTGGCTGGCACACAGAAGAAGAATCAGCAAAGGGGAGAAAGTCTGGATAATGAGGCACTGCTAACAGGAGATGATCATTCACTTTGTGCTGTGAGAAGACAAACTGTCCACTCCGTAGTTGCAAAAGTCATATGGTGGGTTCACTAATAACATTTAGCGAATTGTTTTATCTTAATTGTACTATGAGCACCATCAGGTTTTAAAATGTATAGTGGTTTAAAGGAAATGACAATTAAATTATAAAAAATACTTAAAATTACACTAAAACGGAAGTAGCAACAGATCTTTTCTTCTGTATTGCAAATGAAAGATTATTGAAAAAGAAAAATATTTGTAGGGCAGATACCTAGTTTTATTCATCAGTTACTGATTGGATGGAGTCAGATCTGAATGTGTGCTTGCAGTACATTGTCAGATGGGCAGAGTTTAAGTGGACTAAATAATCAAGTTATGACATTTTTATGACTACAAATTATGAGATCAGTAAATGGAACATGAATTAATGAATTGATCACAGTAGGATCAATAATATGCATTTGGAAAATAGATTAATATCATGCCGATTTTACCAAATTTTTCAAATCTTGTTATCGCAAATAAATCTCATTGGCTGTATTTTTATTTTTCAAGAACCATCGCTAATATTGCTCCCGATTGTAGGATATTTGGTACGCAAGCTGTGATCTGACTGCAGGGAAACATAATAACCAGCAGATGGCAGGCAAGCATCAGAATCCTTTTGACATGAAGGCATCAGAACCGCATATCAATGAAGTTTTGCAAGCAAATGTCAAAACCAAGTAAGTACTGACATCCAAATATGCAGCACAAATGTCATTATCAGTCCCTAACTAAAAATATGTGGTGATACCATGGTACAGTAAAAATGTGTGGTGATACCATGGTACAGTGATGGCATCAGATGCTGTGGTACTATCATACGCCATAGTATTATATGGCACACGCACAGAAAATGATGCCATTAACATAAAACTGTCAAAAAAGGTAACAAATGGGAACACAAATAATATACAGTGGGTACGGAAAGTATTCAGACCCCCTTAAATTTTTCACTCTTTGTTATATTGCAGCCATTTGCTAAAATCATTTAAGTTATTTTTTTTCCTCATTAATGTACACACAGCACCCCATATTGACAGAAAAACACAGAATTGTTGACATTTTTGCAGATTTATTAAAAAAGAAAAACTGAAATATCACATGGTCCTAAGTATTCAGACCCTTTGCTGTGACACTCATATATTTAACTCAGGTGCTGTCCATTTCTTCTGATCATCCTTGAGATGGTTCTACACCTTCATTTGAGTCCAGCTGTGTTTGAATATACTGATTGGACTTGATTAGGAAAGCTACACACCTGTCTATATAAGACCTTACAGCTCACAGTGCATGTCAGTGTAAATGAGAATCATGAGGTCAAAGGAACTGCCTGAAGAGCTCAGAGACAGAATTGCGGCAAGGCACAGATCTGGCCAAGGTTACAAAAAAAATTCTGCTGCACTTAAGGTTCCTAAGAGCACAGTGGCCTCCATAATCCTTAAATGGAAGACGTGTGGGA